GTCACGTGACCCCCCCAAGGTCACTTCACCCCCCAGTACCCTTCCCTCCTCCTCCTCAAGAGCTGCGCTCTAATTCGGCGTTACAGGGAGTTGTAAACGGCTTTCACTTTTTAGAGCGCAGCTCTTAGGGGCCCGTTCCCGGCTTGAGCGGCGTCGCCGTCGCCGTCGCCGTCGCCGTCGCCGTCGGCGTCGGCGTAACCGCGCGGTGCATTATGGGTAAATTTCCCCGCTAAATCTAGCGGAAAAAATTTCCCCGCTAAATCTAGCGGAAAAATTTCCCCGCTAAATCTAGCGGAAAAAATTTCCCCGCTAAATCTAGCGGAAAAAATTTCCCCGCTAAATCTAGCGGAAAAAATTTCCCCGCTAAATCTAGCGGAAAAATTTCCCCGCTAAATCTAGCGGAAAAAATTTCCCCGCTAAATCTAGCGGAAAAAATTTCCCCGCTAAATCTAGCGGAAAAATTTCCCCGTCAAATCTAGCGGAAAAAATTTTCCCGCTAAATCTAGCGGAAAACTTTCCCCGCTAAATCTAGCGGAAAGAAGTTCCCCGCTAAATCTAGCGGAAAAATTTCCCCGCTAAATCTAGCGGGAAAATTTCCCCGTCAAATCTAGCGGAAAAAATTTTCCCGCTAAATCTAGCGGAAAACTTTCCCCGCTGAATCCTAGCGGAAAAAATTTCCCCGCTAAATGTAGCGGAAAAAATTTCCCAGCTAAATCTAGCGGAAAACTTTCCCCGCTAAATCTAGCGGAAAAAATTTCCCCGCTAAATCTAGCGGGAAAATTTCCCCGCTAAATCTAGCGGAAAAAATTTCCCCGCTAAATCTAGCGGAAAAATTTCCCCGCTAAATCTAGCGGAAAACTTTCCCCGCTAAATCTAGCGGAAAAAATTTCCCCGCTAAATCTAGGGGAAAAATTTTGGTCACGTGACCCGGGGGTCACGTGACCTGGGGAGTCACGTGACCCCCTCCCGAGGTCACGTGACCTCTGAGGGGGCACGTGACCCCCGAGGTCACGTGACCCCCCCCCCCGAGAACACGTGGCCCTCAGTAACCTCCCCTCCCCAGACAACACCAAACGTCCGTCGGACGTCCTAAAAACGTGCGAACGTCCCACGTCCTATTGCTGACGTCCTGCGGACGTCCCACGGATGTCCGGGGCGGCATAATCCGGAACACGTCTCAGCGCGACTGTGATCAGGACACGCATTTTTTTTTTGACGATTACAGCAGCGGCTTTACGCACTGTCACCGCACAAGATCGTGGCTCGTATTGCAATCGTCGCTTTTGGTTTAGCCGTTAGAAGAATCAGTTTCAAGTTATTTTGGGTTTTGATCATCCGCGCTTGCCGTACAGTCGGCGTACGCGCCCCTACAAATTGCACCGCCCTTTCTCCGCAATAAATGTGCCGGCGTGCAACCACGGCGAACGGAGGGAGCCAAAAACAGAAAAAGCGACCTATCGTATTTCTTGAGTCTTGTCGCCAACAGAATCACTCGCGTTGCTTCGCAGACACACCAAGAGCAAGAGCGATAGTAAAAAGCCTAAAGGCAGCTCTTTTAAATTCTCAGGCACACAAGAACAAAAATTATGTTAAAAAATGAACCGCTTTAAATACATTCGAAAGCGGAACTATGGCGAAACCGAAACGGTCCTAAAACTCGGTTAGTTTCTATTTTTAATTTCACATTAATCATTTTTTATTCTATATACTTATATATTTTTACAAATTATTTTTTAATAAAATATTGATAATTACATTAGTGAAATTAAGTAATTCAGGCAGAGCTTTCAATCGCCACCGCTGTGCAATGATCATCATCATTAATAGCGTGCGCGCGGGAAAGCTGCAGTCCTACTGCCGACTACAGCGCGGAGTGCTGCCGTGCTGCCGTGCTGCCGTGCTACCGTGCTACCGTGCTACTGCGCTAACCTGACAACTCACTAGCCACCATGGCTGGAGGAAGTAAGTATGATTTAATGTTTTGTTTGGAGCGACAGTCGGGATTTTTACCAAACCGGTCCCCTGATCCGCCACAGCGGTATTGAGGCTCGCGCGCCCCCTTTGAAGCAGCGCGCGGCCAGAGGGCTACCGCGCTCGCAATAGTCAACAGTAACGCTTTGCTAATACTCCGTATTAAGTGGCATGACTTTAGGCCGAGTAATGAAAGTGTTACATTTCCATCGTTCGCAGAGCTTGGCTGTTGCAAGACAAGGCGAACCACTCGAAGATCGTAGATATGGACAATATGGCTGCTCTACCCAGAACAACAGCTTATCGGCGCGTTCGTCGTGCGGCGGAAAGCGATCTCAAACTTATACTGTCAGTTAGTAGAGAAAATGCAATGTGCTCAGCTGAAGCTTTGGATGAGGCTTCTGTAGAAAGGCCCGCTGGGTCGCCGGAACTAGTTGCAGGAGCGCCGCAAAAACACGCGGGATCGCCGGAACTAATTGCAGAACCATCACGTCTCTCGTATCAGCAAGCTGTCCTGACAACGTGCCGTTTTTCTGAGACTGTGCCTGATACTCCGGAACCGGTCTTCGGTGCAAGCGCCATTCACTCGAGACGAGGCGTCCCTGTAGATTCGGAAGGCTTGCCTTACAGTCGTGAACACCATTTAGAAAGAGACAATCGAAGGAATGTCGAGTGTGATGAATTGTCTGAATCAGAGGAATCCGACGTTTCACGTTTCAAGGAAAAGCTGCGGCGGTGGAGCGTGGAGGGGGCTGTTCCTCATGATACCGTTACAAAGCTCCTGAAGATACTGCACTCGCATTCTTGTTTCTCAGACCTCCCAACATGTGCCAGGGCACTTTTGTCTACACCAAGAGTCACTGATAATGTGAGGCCCATGGATTCCGGCCATTACTGCCATTTAGGCTTGAGTGAGGGGCTCAGGGCAGCGCTGCAACCTGTGCGCAATATACCGGATCCAATAATCCTTCATGTGAATGTAGATGGACTACCATTGACGAAAAGCATGCGGGATCAGTTCTGGCCCATTCTCTGCCAAGCTGCTAACTGTGCAGGCAGTGACCCATTTCCAGTTGGTGTCTATCATGGCCGGTGTAAGGCTCTTCAGTCAAATGTCTTCCTTAGTCCGTTTGTGTCTGACCTGAAAGGTGTTCTCTCTGAAGGTGTTGCTATTGGCAACAGGGTCTTCCGAGTGCAAGTTGGAGCAATAATCTGCGACGCGCCTGCCAAGTCATACATTCTTGGCACCAAAGGGCACAGCGGCCACTTCAGTTGCTCGAAGTGCACGACTGAAGGAGAATTTGTGCGGGGACGAATGTGCTTCCCTGATCTTGATGCTCCATTAGGAACAAATGCTAGCTTTAGGCGTGCAGAGCAAGAGGACCACCACATCATGGAAACTATCTTAAAAGAACTTCCCATAGATATTGTTGACCAGGTGCCACTTGACTATATGCACCTCATCTGTCTGGGTGTTGTGCGCAAACTTGTACTCCTTTGGCTGAAAGGTGATAAAACCTACCGCATTGGAAGTGCATCAAGAGATTCTGTGTCGGGAGCTAACATTGAAATGAGGCACTATGTACCATCAGACATGTCTCGGAAGCCACGCAGCTTGTCCGACATTGATAGGTGGAAAGCGTCAGAATTTCGCTTGCTTGTACTTTACACGGGGCCAGCGGTGCTGAGGTCAAGGATCCCCAAGCCTCTGATGGACAACTTCATGACACTTAACTGTGCAGTCACCATACTTTGCAGCCCATTACTCTGTAGAGAGCACTTAGGGTATGCAGAAAGGCTCTTAAGGCATTTTGTTGAGACCTACATAACACTATATGGTAGACATGCAGTCTCTCACAATGTTCATGGCTTGATTCATGTGGCAAGCGACGTAAGAGTTCATGGACCTCTTCACAACTATAGTGCTTTCCCATTCGAAAATTACATGCGTAAACTCAAAAGCTATGTACGCAAACCAGAAAGGCCCTTGCAGCAAGTCTACAATCGAATCGTAGAAGAACGATTTTTGGTTGCACCTCCTGCTGTCAACACTGGAGAGTCGGCAGCGTCGACTCCACCCGTCTCCTCTGTATTCCTTGGAGGAGAAAGTTTCAAGCTGACAGCAAGGCATGAAGGTCGACCATTGCCGCTCGGATGCATTGGACCTCAGTACAAGACAGTGACGTTTCCTGCTGGCATCACTATCAAAACAAACAAAAAAGACTGCACTTGCATGTTAAAAGACAAGAGTATCATCAAGGTTGAAAACATTGCACGCATTGCAGTGAACTATCAACCAGTGTTGGTTGGAAGGAGGTACCAGAGTCTAGAAGACCTTTACAGCTTTCCCTGCAGTTCATCATTGCTGAACATCTTCCTTGCATCTGAACTGTCTGACATTCACTTCTGGCCACTTTCAGAAATTGCAGTGAAATGTGTGAGACTCCCATTGGCAAACACATTTGCCGTTATTCCAATGGTGCACCTACAGTGAAACTTTTTTATGGCTGCTTGTTTATTAATAATCTAGTTTATGATATTGTTTGTAGATGAACTGGACAAGCTAGTTCGGTTTTAGTATGCTGCATTAAAGAGGGAAAAATAACTCGGTGGACATGCAAATGCTTGCCTTTCCTGCTTCGCTCAGGTGACAAGTTTGCTTTTGTAGCATTTCCTGAAGAAGATCACAGCTTGGCCATTATTCACAAAACATGGCTCGTTGAAAACACTTAAACGACATTTTGGCCTAAGGAAAAAAATCCTAACAAGCGTCGTCGAATGACAATCGAAGGCGTCAAACCACAAGACAGTTGGATGCAGGTCAAATGCCTGATCAAGGACTGGGCTGGTAAGTGCTTTTTTGCTCTAAATTCTTTCCAGTTCTCAATGCGTAAATTTCTTTCAGACACATATGAGAAGGCGCTGGAGAAACTTCAGCCCCTGGAGTATACGTCAGACTTCACTAGTGAAGAAGAGCTAGGTCGTGGCAAGCGAAAACGCCGTCCGACTTTTCCTTTTGACTATGATGACAGCACCGACACTACAGGTTCCGACGATGAATATGAACCACCAAAACCACCCACGCCACCCCAGCCACGGAAAAAAACAGGTATGGCATCGTGCATTGTTGGCGATGCTCTATTGTGGTTGAAAAAAATAATTCTTTGAAAACATCTAGTGTAACTTCAAACGGCTTACTACCAACTATTCCTCCTTTTCCAGGTGCCAACTTCTCTAAGTCACCTCTGCATCACTCTGGTGTGTATACCTTATGTCTCTTCAGTGCATGTTCTGGTACATGGATTGAGTAAGTGTGACTAATTCCTCTGCAGCCCTGTACGAAACAGTCACGTCCCAAGCCACATCCCAAGCACATGCCCAGTATTCACGCATGCAGCCACAGTACATAGGTAACTGCTTGTGCACAAGGTGAGTGTTCTGTAGATAATTTAATTTTGATTCCAGGTCTCGACAATGTCCCGCTTGTACACGCATCCCACACGAACGGGATGATGTCCCGCCCGAGCATCCAGCCTACAGGTAGATCTTGCAGCTAAAGTTATGTTTTATGGATTCGACTCCTTTCTTTCTCACATTTTCTTGAATTTCCTGTTAACATTCAGCATTTTGTAGAGAATCTGTTTTCAATTTGAGGTGATGACTTGGGTCCACCAGTGCACACACCATATGCGAACATTTTGCCCAACTCTTTTGGTTTCAGGTGTCCACAGCGTCCCCCAGTGCTCTCTATACAGGAGCAGGACACCTCACTCAAGCATCCGGCCTGCAGGTATATCTTGCAGCTTAAGTGGCATTCGATAGATTTGACTCATTTCTTTCTCACCTTTTTAAATATTTTTATAGCATTCAGCATTTTGTACAAAATTGCTTGTCAATTTCAGGTGCCAATGATGTCCCTCTAGCGGCGGCAACACTGTGGCAGCAACACCACGGTGAGTTTTATTTTGTGAATGATAAAGTTTTCATATCCTTCGAAATAACATCAAAGCTGAGAACTGTTATGTACTGACTGACAGACTGGCGCTTATCAGCTCGTGGCCACTCGAGGAGCGTGGGCACTGAGCGCTCGAGGCTCGGGGAGCGCGGGCTGACGAACGCCGGGCTCCGAATTGATTAAACCGATTTGACCAGTGGTCTCCTGTGAACCGACTCGATGTAACAAGAACAGCATTTTATAAAATTTCAGATGCACCTGTAACCCCTATGAACATGTCTCAGCCTGGCACTGGACGGGTAAACACGGATGCACAGGTGCCTGGTATGTAATATCTATTTAGATCTTCAATCGGAAACAAATTTTGCGATAGTGGTTTCTGGGCTTCTACTTCTTATGCTATGTGCATGACAAAGACGATTCGGAAAAGGTATTGTGTCTAGAAACGTTTTTTTCTAATGAATGTGAGTTGTCGTGAGGGGCATGGCTTTCCTAAAACATACAATATATGTCAGGAAGCAGTATTTATCTTAGTGTTTTTATTTAAAGAGGCACTAAGGTGGTTTCTGAATAAGATTGTTCTTGATGTTATTTTATAGGTGCCAGTTAATTAATATATCCAGTGCCAAATTACGAAACTGCCTATGTATCTCGAGGCAACAGAAATACATGCATACTATACACACTAGAGCAATGAAAACACTTGAATGTCTGGAGATTTTGACTGTTTGTACTATTATAGTTTGTTTTGAAAAGAAGTCCGATCCACACGTTCAGAAATCACGCCACTCGTTGGCTGCACGAAAAGCCATCGCTAGCAATTGGCTGACAAGCGACCCTTGTTGGCTGCCTCACAATAATATTCATCTCAGAGAAGGGGGCGTGTAACAATCTTTAATCGCGTTTTTAGTAGGAGAATGGGCCACGCCTGATTGTGTAATTTCGGGTTTTCAGAACGCTTGGAGCACTTAGATTGAGTTATTGTCACTAAAGAACTCTCAGAAACTGTTTTCGTACTCCTTTAACTTTGCTATATCACGGAGAGTTACTATTTCATGTTATGTCAACAGTTCTGCAATGAGGATACTACTGTGGCTGCAAGATGGAGCGCTGTTCTGTCCATTTCAGTGTTTATGAAAAGGATCCTGTTGGCACTGAATTCCATCAAGGTGACACAGCAGACCCACTCCGAGTACTTTAGCTTGCTGCTCAGAAACACCGAAGATGCCCTACTTGATCCAGAGGGCCTGCCGGACTTGCCTTTTTCTACAGAACAGGACTTCGTGCACTTCGACAAAGAGCTGGAGGTCGACAAGAGAGCAAGGCTTCGTATGGTAAATTATGGTTATTCTAAACTAAGCTCTGTATTTTGCATCTATGCATGATTGAACTTTTTTTTTGTTATGAGCAACTGTATTTTTGGAACTCCACCTTGTAAATATTCAGGTGATAAAGGTTTGCTTACCAGGTGCCAGAGTTCAGTTACAAGCATAGCTTATATTAGAACCTCATTAGATGCATGAACACAATTTCGTGTTAGTAATCACATTTTATGACTGAATTCCTGAACAGGTACTTCAGTGTAGTCAATAAAATCTTATTTTTTAAGTTTAGATGTATACCTAACTTTAATTTGCATCATGTGTATATGTCGGTCACTCTTACAGTACCGAGAAAGCGAGTCAAAATTGGGCGGAAATGATCACATAGTGCCCATACTTCTAAGCATGCGGTTTTGTTTCTAAGATTTATGTGCATCCGTAGGGAAGATGTTCCTGCTATGCCATCAAAATCGATATCTCAACATAGCTATTAGAACTACGGCACATTTTGAAAATTTTTCAGTGTTTTAACAATGTGAATGCTTTATGTGCCAGTGGTGATAGAACGCTTGAGAACCACTATGCTTATGAAACCACACTAAGATTGTGATATGCTTAAAATACTAAAGTAGTTTAATGTTAGCCCATATTTCTGATCTGATTGCTGTTTTGATTCTTTTTTGCCAGAGACAACACATGTTAGTTCAAGGAGGTGATACACCTAAAGAACGGACCACCCGAATTTTGAGAAGTATACTATCTTCAAGTGTCGCAGCCGAGTACAGCTGGTGTGGCGCCAAGGGAAAACACAAGTTTTCTGATCTCAACATCTGCAAGATCCTGTGTAGTAAGTTAGATATCTGAACCTGCACAAGTGATATTCTTAGTATGTACTGAAGTCTAATATAAAAGAATAGTGCAAAACCTTTTTGGAAAATTAGGTATATTACTTGATATAAGAGTGTAACAAATGAAATAATTAGAGCATATTTTCCAGTGTGTAAGTCATTTTTTTTCCAGTGTTACATTGATGTTCTTATACAGCAGAGCAGTTTATAACAGGCACCTGCACTTGTCCCGCCACCAACCACCGAAGAAAAAGAGACATGTTCTTATTTCTTTCAAATGGTACACAGTAACGGTCCTAGATCCACGAGACGTAGCCTTCAGGTACCGTGGATCGGCTTTTCCACATAATCAATGCCCGGGAATGTGATGGCTACCTGTAGAAGGGTTTTGTATCATTTCATAGATGCACGTTTCACTGACAACTTTTTATTGACACACATTTCATTGACACTGCTTACACAAAGCACATGCCGCTGCATCATCTAGCTGTTCTGGCTACTTTGAGCACCAGTTTTTATTTAGAAGTAGTGCTTGCAACTAGTTTCTGTTAATGAGAGTAGTACTAGTTACTAGCATCTTGATCTAGTCACTATTTCGCTAGGTGGATTGCATTGGACTTTTGGCTTTATTTTGCTGATTCCGGCAAGCTAGGCTTTCTAACAGACCGCGTTGCGCACTGTCATCCCTTGCTTCACTCCGCTTGGGAGTTTAACATCCCCTCCGGCTTCCGCCTTTGGTAAGCCTGTTTGGAATCGCCAAAGGCTTAGCAGGCTAGGATAGTAAATGGGGATGGCGGAAACAGAATGTCGGCAAAGAGGCTCCGCTTTATTACATGCCAACAACATCCAGGCCACCAAAGAAGTACATGCAAGGCTATGTCGCGAAGAAGAGGCTGTCGAAGGATCTGTCAATGAAATAGCATTCGATGAACTGATTGCTACTGCTGTAGAGTGACGCAGGCACATCAAAACAAATTTGCTTCAAGGGTTGTGTTTCTCATTTGGTTTGTTTGCAAGAATAATGAAATTGGTTCCTGCTTATGCATACTTCGCCTGAAGTTGTTGATATGGCAGTTAGCTTGACTGCATAATGCAGCTCACATTTTTTCTGCCAGTCTAAAATATCTTGCTGAACTTGACAACAACTTTTTTATATGCAGGCACCCTCACCTACCGTCAAAACTTGGAAGAAGCCAAGGCAACTAAGAAGGACATAGAAAAAGCAGGCATGTCGTGGCTCCGTCATGCTGCTGAGCGGGCAGCGGCTGAAAAAAAGTCCATGGGAAGGAAGGACGGCACACCATTTACACTAGACTAAGAAATCACTTCAACAGGGCAGCCCTTTGAAAGGAACTATGCAAGTCTGTTTCTTAACGTTTTGCACTACAATTTGCAACAGCGGAGAGCTACATTTTCAAAGAAACAACTTAATTGAGTAAAAGTTTAAAAGTCTGAATGCTTTTCTCTACATATGGTGTTTGTTTGCTTATGGCACACATCTGATTGTTGCAACAGCTGATAAACTGCAGCAGCAGTTCACAAATAAAATACTCGTATAGCATTTTTGGTTTGGAAAGACCGTCTGCTTTGACCGAGGGGGCCGTATCTCGGCTGTTTCACCAGCCAGACTTGTGATGTTAGGCGAATGCTGCAGATAAGGAGAAGACATTCCTATTTTTTAACTTTCTTCTCAGGTAAAGCCATTCATTGAAATTTGGATGGAAAATTTCACCACCTACGGATACCAGTGTCGTAAATTGTAGCACAGTACATTAAGACAACAATTTATACAGTTCCTTTGAAGTGCCCTGTATGTAAGATGTGCACCAATTTTTTTTTGGCAATTCACTATCGATTCAACATTCTAACAGCCATTCTGGCATTTCAGTTTCGTGATACTTTATACAAGATGTATTTGTCACACTTGTTTACACTACTCTTTTCTATGCAGTTCATGTTTTTTTCCTGTATTAAGCAAGTTCAGAGTCACTGATGTCACTTGCTTTTAGTATAAATTTAGCTATTCAGTGCTCGACTGCTATTGTAGACTTTGTGCATTATTTAATGTAGATGTCTGGTCTTGCTGACCTTGGTCGCATGGCAATATTTTTTCTAGATTTTGCCAAAGTAATTCTTTTGCACGACTTGCATACAATCATTATACACTGTTGGCACCTAAGCTGAAAGGGGGTTAGTCATTTTTACTGGCATTACTGTCCTGCAACTTGCATTTTTAGTACTTGGCATGTACTGCTTCTATGCCTTGCCATAACTGTATTTCAGTTTTAGATAATGTGTTATTTTTTTATAATTAACAACTCTAGTGCAATACTGTGATAACACAATCTATGTTACATTTCTGCACTTCAAAGGAAATGTTTGAGTGATATGCAGAAGTAAGCATTCTAGTGAAATACTGTGATAATATGAGGGGGCATCAAAACGTTTCTGAACTGGCATCACTGAACAAAAACAAAACAAGTACAGCAGTGTGACACCAGCTGACACTTCCTGACAAGCTTGCAGTCTGTGCCGAAATTTACTGTGCAGGGCGAGAGTATCTCTAGCTGTGCTTGTCTCTTGTTTGTTCAGAAGGGATTTTGCAACTTTCTCACCGTGAAACACAAATGAAAAACTCGAACCACGTCCATACATCATTTTCTGTGAAAATCGAGAAGAACACATTAGAAACTCAGAAACTCCGTCAGCAAGCATTCGGTGACTGATCTAGGTTACACAAATCTGTGAGTGGCATGGACATTTTAAGTGAGGCTGAGAATCGCTTGAAAACAATGAATCAAGAGGATGCCCTCCAACAAACCTAACATTTAAAAATGCAGAAAAAATCCTCGTTAATTCAGTAACACTTTCTGAGAACGATTTCGGACATTGCTGAACAACTCAACATTATTTATGGTTCAGCAATATCCGAAATGCGCTTCCGACGGTCTTCGTGAAATAACACATAGATTTTTTTTCGGCATTCTGAAATGTTATGTTTCTCGGAGGGCATTCTCTTCATCGTCTCCAAGGAATTCTTGGCCTCGCCTAAAATGTCCATGCCACTCACTTATACATGTTTTTACTAAATCGTGGTCACCAAATGCTTGGTG